ACACGCACTTTGATTTCTTTTTGTGGTCGGGCAGCAGGTGGTGAGATGGTTAAAGACTGAGGACTTGTTGGAAAAAATGTTCTTTAACTCTAAMTCCTTTAACTCAAGTCCTCAGTCTTCAACCATCTGACCACCTGCCTTCCCGACCACACAAGAAATTAAGTTCGTATCATGGTAGTTTTCAATCTTCATTCCCKGACKATGCTGTCGAGAAAGCGAAAGCTTAGAATCACAGACTTTATAACTAGATCTTACAGTCAAGTCTTCATTTTATGCTATCCTTAGAAAAGAGAGACTAAATTCATAAACATGAGATGAGGAAATTCTCGCGAGATACAATACATTGAGCATGGTTAGGCGTCTAAGRACAGTAGCCAGTCTTCTGGTTGGCGATGATCAGCAGCCCTGAAATTGAGCACAATTTTTCCACGCCAAAAAACATGCAAAAAAATATACGACAGTTCTGCATAAGTACAATGTTGTGACAATCATCGTCTAGAACTTTGACAGCATGTCGGAAGAKGTTTGTCTTTAATTATACTCCCTCCTTCTATCCGTCTTAACAAGAAATAGATTTTACTAGAATAATTATAATAACTATATATTATAAATGCCCGTAAAATCCGATTTTTTGGCGTCGTTAGAAAAACTACTCACCTCCAATCAGCCAAGATGTTTCGTATCATTCTAACGTTAATACTGGGGGCTATATCGTATCATTCTTTAATAAATATGGTATAACCGCTTGCTTATAATGCATATTAATGTACTTTCCTTTCAGATTTCGAAACACTACTGCGCTGAAGAGAAAAGTAAAGTAAAGTGTACGTATTCTGATTTAATTTATAATGTGTGATTTATTTTTGGATGTAACATATATGAAAACGTTGAAAAGTTGACTCTTACACAAATTTATTCATAAGCATAACAGTGAACAGTAAGCATAAACGTAAGCATAAACGTAAGGTGATTAACAAAACTACGAAACATTACCGGGACTATAACTGTGCACAAGCATTGGTCTATGCTGAGTGCTTAAGAATAGTGATACAACATTATAGCCAAATCAACGAACATTTCATTTTTCTCTCATTTTTTTTTCAACACATTTACACCGCATAACTGTCAACGGTTACAATTATATTGGAAGACTTAAAAATAATATCAACATTTTAAAATTTGGAATTTTAATGTCAAAAAAGTATAATCATATTAATGGTCTATGCGCTGTGATTGGCTATTCTACTAATGGTCTAATTTGTGATAGACCACTCGCGGGAAAATCAAAATAAATAAATTATAAATTATTTTAAGGATATTCAAATTTGTTTTCATTATTTGACCGATTAGTATGTTTATACTAAAACAATTAGACCTCTCGGTCTCGTGGACTACGAGCTAATAGCCCATTCGGCCTCGCGAACTTGGCCTCATGGGCTATTAGCTCGTAGTCCACTCGATCGACCTCGAGGTCTAAGTGTTGATTATATCACAGTTAAAAAGTTTCAGCATCTTCATTCTATATACGCTGTCGAATAATCAATTCGTTCAAAAGCGACGCTCGTTCGAAAGCTAAAACCTTGTAAATGGWTCGGAAGTTGSCATGTATTACAAAAATTTCGTATATTCTCARACGAAAACACTCTGATGGTGAAAAGTTCTTGAGSTTTTCTTTTGCTAAATATTTTTCTTTTAATTTAATTAAGATTTTCAGTTTCTCAAATGCAAAGAAACATTATATGACTGCTAGCACATAAAATATGTTAGAACATCTATAATTTAAATAATAGTTAAATTATCAAAAAAAATATTATACTATACTATATAACATCAATATATAATMTTTATAATAAATAACACTAAATTAACACTAAGTTATCCAAAAATAATATACCGTACTTCTAGCAACACATAATTTGAATAACAATAAAGTGAATTCAATATACAGTCAATCACATCTACGTTGTTCAGTTGTAAAGACAACAACAAAACCATTTTCCAAAAAAAAATTAATACTCCTAGAACGTTTTCCAATGTAAAACTCCAGATAAACAAAATCAAATGCAGTTGACATTTCAGTGACGTTTTGCAGCTTAAAGTTGAATTATTCTTTCAAAACCATTAAAGTTATGATATATCTAAAAGACTTTGCTGTTGTCTTAATGTCTTTACAAATGCACAGCGTTCAATGGATTACTGTATCCGTGAAACATTGTGTAAGAAATTGCACAAAATCCCGAAAATTGGGAAGTGCAAACGAAGCACTGTTTCACGTACGTATAAAAAAGCTCAGAAGCTGGGAACATTTTCCAAGATTTTTCGCGCTCTCACAACCCAGTAGTGCTCTGGATGTAAGTCATTCCATCCATTTAGACATTGTTTCAACAAAGCAATTCCTCGCTCTGGCTCTCCAGTGTTAATAAGAGCTTCAGCGAGTCGAGCATGWGGAAGCCATATTCGTGGATTTCTCTTGTCGACACCAAATTCATTCAGTCCTTGAATGGCCTCTTCGAGAAGCCTTTTTGCATCACTAAACATGCCTTTTACCAGGTAGATATCAGCTAAAATTGTTGCCACTCGGGGCCAGGCAAAGTGGCCTGAAGAACGATATACTCTGACGGCTTCTTCACAGAACGCTTGCCCGATATCTGCTTGTCCAACATGGCAAAGGACAGTGGCATATGTCATGGCAGTTCCGAGGTAAAAYTTGTGTTCTTTTCCATGAAGGTGTTCGTAAATATCAAGAGCTTTTTCATGGAGAGTTTTAGATTKGGCGAGAAGATCTCTGGCTTCTTTTGTCAGCCCTTCTGAATAGTACACTCCAAGAAACGCCCGAAGGTAGATCTTGGCTGTGTAGTTCGCAACCTGAGGAAAATATCACACTTTGTTATTAAGATACAAAGTCGACGTCCGTCTAAAACAAGCGGATGAAGAACAGCAAACACCCAACAAACTGGAATTTCTTAAAGTAAGTATCATGTATTAAAAAGGACACACTCAGCCTTCCTCAGCCTGACTGAAGACGATACGTTTTTTGACATAAACGTTTGATCAATATATACATGGTAAACATTTATTGCAGAAAAATATATCTGCCCTTGTGGAAATTTTCAGAAATTATTTGAACCACACTTTAAAATAACATCTATTGGTAGTTCATACTCCTCCCCCAAAATGGAGTGAGCCCCAAAAATATTTTTTTTCTATTTGCGGATTTTTAATCTAAAGCATTAATAATYACCTGAGCACGAACTACAGATTTATCAGTTCCCAAAGCTTCCACAATTCTTTGAGCCTCTTCCATGACTTCAATGGCCTCTAAATTCTTCCAGGAGTCGTTCAAGATAATACCGTAGTTACAGAGACGTTCAATGACTTCGTCGTGCTGGTCTCCGTACGCCTGTTTGGTGACATCGACGGACATTAACATGTATGCAGAGGCTAGGTCAAGCTGGTACATCTCGCGATACGTCCAGCCAAGTATGTTGAGAATTTTCGACCTCTGTTTCATCCATTCCAATCCTGAAGATTTGTAAAAACAGATAAGGAAGAAATAATCACCTTCACCGTCAGCATACTGGAAAAGTTCATTAGTTTACAGCGTTTGTAAATAATCTGTAAATATACTGTAAATTCAATTTACAGACAAAATGTCMTGTTACAAAGTTTACTTGTAAATGCACTTTTTGTCTGTAAATTGAATAATTTACAGTAAATTTACAGACTCTATAAATTGATCAACGTTTCAATTGCATCATCATCATCGTCATCACAATCATAATCAACATCACYGTCAACTTCCMTGTCGCCATGTCATACCTTCATGTTGCTCAGCGATGATGATAGCTTCTTCTAAGACTGGAATCACGTCGTCTAGCCTTCCTGCCTCTCTGTAAGTATACCCGAGATCGCCMAGCAAGCGACAGGCACAGAGGCTCTTGAGGTTGAGTTTTTTCTGTATGTTATATGCAGCTTCTAAGAGTTGCACCCKGTGGTGATCAGTGCCTCCTTCWACRTGGATGAGGCTATCAGCAAAACAGACCGAACCGTCGATAAACGCTTCATTRTGAGTAAGAGTCAAGTTCTTTGCTGCGTTGATCATGTCTTGCAGGTGAGGACTTAGAAGAATTTTGGTATGAATCGCTTGCTCCTCCAATGTTTGGAAACTATTTTAATTGAAAAATTCGAAATAGTGTTAAGTTAACTTGRAATTGTTTAATTGACAACAATATCTGAGTCAGTAGATATGGAGTAGCGTTATGATAATTATTAACATATTATTAATATATTGTTGTT